GATTCAATCCAACCACATCTTATATTCCAAAATGCCTTTTGAGAGCTCATTAAAAAGTAAAACGTCTCAAAGGATCGGCTTCCTTCTCTCAAACATCACTTTTCCAGTTCAACCCATGCTCTGGATTGCATGTCGATGCTTGTCACTTCTGTGAGCTGCCTCTCTTTCTCACATGGTGCATGCTTGAGATTCACCTTAATTAGTCTCCCTGGAGGAAGGGTGGTGGTTTCCTTAGCTCATTAGGTCCAAAGGTGTGGGGATAAGATAACAGAATACATGAATCATAGTATTTTATATAGATCCGGAGAAAATCACACCAATGGGCAAATAGCTTTGTTTTATTCATTTCCACAAAACATCTACTTCTGTTTCATTGACTTCACAAAAGCCTATGACTGTATGGATCACAGCAAACTATGGCAAGTCCTTAAAGAAATGGGAGTGCCTGACCACCTTATCTATCTCCTGAGAAATCTATATGTGGGACAGGAAGCAACAGTTAGAACTGGATATGGAACAACTGATTGGTTCGAAATTGGGAAAGGAGTATGACAAGGCTGTATATTGTCTCCCTGCTTATTTAACTTATACAGTGGTGCCCCGCAAGATGATGTTAATTTGTTCTGCGAAAATCGCTGTCTTGCGAAAACATCGTCTTGCAAAATGCGGTTCCCCATTGGAATGCGTTGAAATCTATTTAAAGCGTTCCAATGGGGGGGGGGAAATTGCCATCTTGCGAAAATCGTCCATAGAAAACATTGTCTTGCGAAATGCGGTGCCCCACTGGAATGCATTGAAATCTATTTAATGCATTCCAATCGGGGAAAAAACCCTGTCTTGTGAAGCATCAGTCTAAAACACAAAACAAAACAAAACCATCTTGAGAAGCACGGACCCAAACATAATCTAGCGAAAATCACCCATAGGAAAAACAGCAATCACAAAAGCCCATCGTCTTGCAGATTAATCGTCCCGCAAGGCAATCGTCTTGTGAGGCACCACTGTATTCAGAATACATCATGCGAAAGGCTGGACTGGAGGAATCCCAAACCGGAAGAAATATCAACAGCCTCAGATATGCAGATGATACCACTCTGATGACAGAAAGTGAGGAGGAATTAAAGAACCTCTTAATAAGGTGAAAGAGGAGAGTGCAAAAAATGGTCTGAAGCTCAACATCAAGAAAACTAAGATCATGGCCACTGGTCCCATCACCTCCTGGCAAATAGAAGGGGAAGATATGGAGGCAGTGACA